TTTGTACTACACAACTCGAGATAGGCAACTTGTATTTATTGATTGTAACATTTTTTGTTATGGGTATTATTCTTGAAGCATAAGATATGTTGCTTGAATGTCTAATAGATTTGTAGGTTCCCTTGTCATATCTTTTACATTGAATCAGTGCCTTACATACTTTGAAAGGTTATTTCCAATATTTATATTGAAATGCCATATGATATACAGATAACTCTAACTTGATTAATTATTGAATAAATCATTTTATGTTTGAATAATCGCTAAATAGCATAGTTTGTTTCTTATGCATCTTAATAGTTGGATGCAAAATAAATGATACCTGTGAAAAACATAATCTATTAAAATATATAACAAGCTTTGATCATACAGCTCAGGATATTATTATAACACTTATTTAAATCAAGATATATATAAAATCCATGCTTTGTGTTATGAACTTCTTGTTAGTAAAACACTTCTATGAGAATGATTGGCTAGCTCAGTCTATGACCATGCACAGTGTCAACTTTTTCTGGGTCATTAGACTCTACATGGTTGATGAAAAACCTTCCTTTTGTTCTAAGTATCATAGCAAATAAAGTGTATATATATATATATATATATATATATATATATATATATATATATATCTAAGTTGCATTAAAATAAATAGTTGATGAACCATCCTTGAAAATATATGAACATTTCTCATGTGGTTGCACTTGGATATGTTAAGCATACAAACACAATGATTATTGTGTTCATGTATTATGGTCCTGAACATCACCATAAAGCAAGCCGTCATATAGGAATTGACAATTTTAATCATCCATGTCAACCAATTCAATGGCATAAACAACCTCGTAAGAAATTACATTCACGGATGACCTGTTCAAAAAGTACTTGAACCAAATAATTACGCCAACCCAAGAGCAGATTTTATCTTATCTTGCATTTCACCAAGGCATTTATCATTTCATGGTGATGGAGAACAAATGCACAGCATGGTAAACAAAGTACTAACTAGTGATTACAAGGTAAACATCTCAAATCATGTTAATCATAAATCTCATTTCACCAAGACCCACATCAAGTTCAGAGAATCAATTATATAGTCTAAGAAGCTATTTGCAAGAGAACATGCTTGTACTGCAACACATTTTTGTAGCAAAATGTGCTTTAAAATATTTCAAGTAATTTTTAACAACTTGTCAAAAACTATATTAATAAAAAATATATATATATCAAAGGTAGTTCTACAATAGTTCAATAAGACAAAAACTAAAGCTAACTAGGCCTTGGTAAAATATGAAAAAAGGAGAATTAAACAAAAGAGTAAGCATTTTAAAGAGAATGGATGTACCCCTTTTCATAGACTGTCTTCAACAGCTGTAGCACCTAACATAATCAAGTACCTCTCAATTTTTTCAGGAGCGGCATCCACTATTTCATCATGATTAGAATTTATAGCATTACTAGCTTTCAAAAACTCATGATGCCACATGTTGAACTTTTCTTCACTAATCACACAGTAAGCAATAATCACTGTACGCAACCCAACCACTGAGTACTTGTTAATGATATCCTTAGTTGCCCACTCAAGCATTCGCTCACTCTTTGCAAGTCTGCTAAAGATTACACTGAAGCAAAAAGTTGATGTGATTAAAGTATTTACTCAAACCTAAGAAGTAGACAAACTATAGAATTACAAGAGATTTGCATTAGTACAAACATGTTTGTACCCTTGCATAAGACCAAAACTTGACCCTCATCAGTCATTACAACAACAGACATTCTCTTATGAGAACTGCAAAATGATGATGTGCAGAGAAATTTATATGTTCTGATAAGAAGGAAAAGGATCTCTCAGGTATTAACTTCGAACAAAAACATTTGCACAAAGAGAAGGCGAAGAAAGTTGGTCAATTGTAGCTGCTAGTTACCGTTCTACCAAGACAAAGTTCAATATCATGCAATGATATGCTTAACTGCGTTTTTTTCATAAAATTTGAAACCCAATTTGTTTGCGGACACTACAAAAGTTGCTTCATCTGGTGACTCAGCTCCATAAGAAATGTCATCAGGTTTACTCTCAACCACAGTGATGGCAGTATGACAAACAGCCAAGACACGAAAGAACATCTGTATAAGATCATGATGAGGGTCCTTAACCCAAAACCCATTCATCAACTGGCCATCAGAGAAACTAAGGGTGTGTTTGGGGCAGTTCTAGCGATAGTTGTCCCAAGAAGTTGCTGCGGGGAAGCTGCTGCTGGGAAGCTGACTGATTGTTTGTTTTAGCTGTTTGAAAACAATTGTATGGCGGTTTTTTTCTAGATAAATGTCCATTCTGCTCATGTTTAGTAATGTTGTTCATAACAGAACTGTCAGAGTCATATATTCGATACTTTAGAAGTAGAAATCCACTTCAGAACAGTACAAAAGTTAAGATACACACTTCACTTAACAGCGAGGATCAAGAGTGCAAAAAAGTCAAAACTATTAAAATTATAATTAATATAATGATTATATTGTTTTTAACATGCTGACGGTGAATGTCCCGTGCTACACTGTCCACCAATGATAATATTCATTCGCGATCACCGTCGACCCTAGAATCCGCGGGACTATCTGCCCACCGGAAGAAGTCACACTACTATACAATGATCCACAAGCAACTATAGAACTGTCTCCCATAGTTATGGGTCCGACGTGATATCAAAAAGGAAATCTTTAATCCGCAGTGGCAGAGCAATTGTCGGGATGTCCCTGAAATCCTTGAGCACATCTTTCTTGAATGCCACAAAAGACAATGCATTAGTAAAGACAAAAATTGAATTTGCTAAAAGAAGTAATTAAAAATTTACACTTACAAATAGCAAAAAAATTTTAAACCAGCAATATAAAATATATAAGGTACAAATGCCTTTGAATAAAAGAAATATAACACTGAAAGCTCACTATACAATATGAATGTTAAAAATGTTTTCACAAAAGAAATAATTACACATAGTACTGAATAAATTACAAATAATACAATCAGTCTCCTACTAAAGCATTAGTAATTTTTTCCCTTAGCTCCATCATTTCACTCGCACCATCCCCTTCTCTAGTACAGATAATGGAATGATCATTCTCAACTCTTGACAGGGAATGTCCGAGGTGGCACTCAAATGCTTTTGGAGGTACATGCTCCTGATCTTCGTCGGTCCTACGAAATTCAATGTCGTTACGAGAAAGATGTCGGCTAATATAATTGTGCAGAGTCATCGTGGCAATCACAATCTAGACCTATTTGGGAAACGGGTAAGATGGAATATTGCGAACTATAACCTATTTCTTCTTCCAAACGTCAAAAGTCCTCTCGATGATACCGTGTAAGGAGAAATGTCTTTTATTAAACAACTCATTTTTGCCACGTGTAACATTACTGGCTCGCTCGAAATCCGGTATGTGATATCTTGTATCATGAAATGGCTTAAGATGCTCTCGCTGCAAAGGATATCTAGCATCCACCAAATAATATTTGCTTAATATGTATTGCATAATTAGTATGAAAGTTAGAGTGAATCACCAAAGCATTTGGGGCTCCAGCATGCCTCGAGAAGGATATGGGAAGTTGTAGTGGGTATTCTGCGTTGCAGCTTTGAAATCCTACTGTCATGTGCACTACCCTCCCAACTGAGCATAACAAAATTAAAGTACATGTTGAAGTCGCAAACAATCATGACATTCTGCGTAGGGGCCCCACAACATCCGATAAATGCGATCTTCTCATTATTTGGAACCCATGCATCAACTTGTGTTCAATCAATTACTCTGATGCAATCATAATCAAATAAGAATGAGTTTTTATGTACCTCTTGTATATTTAAAACTTACTACAATTAATTAGAAATGTTGTCTTAAAGAACAACTGTAACGTGCATTGCGTGAAATCTCAATAGGAGTCCTTTCGAACATTGGATCCGTTAGTTTGATGACTTGTGTAGAAAGGTTCACAAGTGCTTTAAGACCCACCGAGAAGTATCTACTAAGAGAGGGTTTTATTAAAATTTAGAAGTACACATTGCTAGAGCTTTTCTCTTTCTCTAAGAGAGGGTTTATTTCCACACAATTATTGTATATCAAAAACATTTTGGTATTAGAAATTTATGAATAAAAAATCATAATTTCTTATTAAAATTTAGAAGTAATATATTATTGATTTACTGTGAAGATTTGAAGTATGTGTGTGTGTGTGTGTTTGTACACACACACACATAAAGAAAAACATTTTTTTTATGAAAATTATATTATTATTACTTTTATATACAAGTAAATATAACAATTATTTTAGCGTGACAATATTATCCATGTTAACATATAGTATATTGTATGATAGGATCAAGTTAGCACGAATCTCAAAGTGAAACATTGGTACACATCAAAACAAGAGGTACCCATAGTCAAAGTAAGCTAAGCCCTTGCCATACACTAATTCAACTTGTTGGAGTAAAGATTGATGTTGGATCAAGAGAAAGGCATCCCTTAACTTGGTCAAGTCCTCTCTATTTTGTATGAGTGCTGATAGGAATAATGGGCCGAATGAAAGAAACGACATTCTCTCGGACGAAGGATAAAGACAGATCAAAGATTAAACTTGGGCTACAAACATGTTCTTTCGCTGAAGAGCACCTATGCGAGTCCCATGTCACTCGGCACACCAGTGTCGAATGAATCAATTTACTATAGATGGGCTACGATCTTTATGATTGACCGATCAATTTGTTATTAAATATATTTATAAACCGAAATTGTATAAAAGGCTTTAGTACCCTTTTGGCCCTTACAGAAATAGAGGTCTTAAGTGTAATTGTATGTTTCAGATATCTTGTATAGCTATAACTAGGGGATCATTTTATGAACAAGGGAGTCAGAGACTCATTTTACTGTTTATTTCTTGCTTATCTTCTATTTTCCACTCCTACATGCTCTATTCCTTGGAAATGATATTCTGAACAAACTACAGAGCTATAATGAAACTGATTCAAGAAAGTGAAAACTTTTGCAGAGATGAAAGAAGTGATTTCTATTTTCAGAAGCAAGACATTAAAGCTGCATACAACAAGAAGCTGGGATTTCAGGGGTCTAACTCTTTTCAATACCGAAGCTGCTCCATTGCAATTGGAATATGGTGACGATGTTGTAATTGGCATCTTTGACACAGGCTTTCCCACCAAGTATCCTTCTTTACCCTCAACTTTTCCATCTTCGGTTCAGATTTTTCATTACAGTACAAAATTCTTCTTTCTTCATCTTTTCTTCCTCTCGGCCTTTCATCTGAACAGCACCTAAGCTTCTAGGTCTTTCAGTTCTGTGGATTTATGAAATTTGGGATTTAAAGCTCAAATTTTAAGTTTGATTCATGTTAAATCTGAATTTAATAAATCCAAAAAAAAAAAAAAATTTAATAAATCCGAACTAAATCCTAAATGCTCCTGCAGGTATATGGCCACAGAATCGGATAGCTTTCGACCTAACCTACGTTGGGAAAAATTATTCCACACGGACGGACACCGCATGCAAGATACATGCGGTATCAGATCCTGAGGTAATTTACGGTTAGAATGTATTTCGGTAGGCCTCACCTAATTTTTTTTTAAAAAAAAAACTGAAATATATCCTGACTGTAGATCACCATGATCTACTGTCAGGATCGAACACCGCATGCAGAGATGCATGCGGTGTCCGTACGCAATAATTTCTCATACGTTGGGCCCTATTCCCCGCAAATGGCGCGGGAGGTGTGTGGCCGGAGAACGCTTCGATCCCGCCACCGACAGCAATCGAAAGATCGTCGGAGTTCGATACTACCTGTCGGGCTTCGAGCTTGATTATGGCGCTATGAAGCAGAATTTTGCACTCCCCACGACCAGCTCGGCCACAGCTCCCATACCGCTTCCACAGCCGCACGATCGGCCCCCGGCAATACCTCACTGAAAATAATTTTTAAACGAAACTAAATTTCATTGAAAAAAAATGTCATAGAAATGAATGAAATTTGACTATCATATATATATATATATATATATATTGTACTGTGACTTATCGTGTTACTTATCGCACTGTTAATTTAAAATAAGATTCGGATCTTCAAGAAATCTACTGTTACTTTAACAATTGTTCATGATGAGGACCAATTTGTATTAATTCATTTCAAGATGGAGGAGTTTCATGGTTGGGTTACTTTTGTAAATGCAAGTTCACTTTTGCAGGACAAGTACTTGTTATAACATAAGTTAAAACTGATGGGTTCTACTATTACTGAGAATTGGTTTGTGTGGGGTGATTTCAACATGATAATGAAACCTGTTAAAAATAGGGGGAAGCAGGTGTGACACTGCATTTATAAATCATTTTTGTGACTCTGTTTCTGATTGAGGCCTTTTTGATCTGGGTAACTCTGGTTCTCCTTTCACCTCGAGAAGGGGATTATTCTCTCAAAGGCTAGACCTTTTTTTGGGCAATTATCATTTTCTGAATTACTATCCAATTATTGGGGTCCAACATTTAAATCTTGCATCTTTTGATCATAATCTCATTTTGCTTTATTTGAATTTCAATGTCAGACCTTCCATTTTCAGTTTTAAATTTCTAAATATATGGGCTGCTCATGATATTTTCTTAAGTCTTGTTCAATAGGTGTGGAAATTTGATGGTATTGGGACAACTTGGTTTATCCTATGGCAATTGCACAAAAAGTTAGCTACTAATTCAAAGAAATGGAACTTTCAGATTTTTGGTAATGTTCACACCAAAGTGTTGGAGGCTCGTCAAACTGTTGATCAATTAGAGTTTCAGGATGTTGGTTCACCTAATTTGGTGGACGCTGTGGCAAAGGCTCGCCTAGCACTTTTTGATACAATCTCTTTGGAGGAAGAACTTTTATAGCAAAAGGCTAATGATATCTCCTTTAGTGCTGGTGACAGAAACACAAATTATTTTCATGCTACTCTTAAGCATAGAAGAAATATAAATAATATTATGAAGATAAGAAATGCCAATGGTGATAGCTTTACTAATAATGATGACATTGGTTACATTGTTGTTCATTACTTTATCGATCTTTTTCAATCTAATATACATGTTAATCCTGTTGATCCAGAACTTTTTGTTGATGAAAGAGATTATATTACTGAACTCTCACTATCTCAAGTTCCTGATGAAAAGGAATGTATTGGTCCTAGTAAAGCCCCTGGGTCCGGATGTGTTTTCTCCCTCCTTCTATGTACATTGTTGGGACATTATTAAGAAGGAAGATATTCTTGTTATACATAGTTTTTTCCTTGGGGACAACCCATGTAAGTACTTCAGCTCGGCATTGATTGTGCTTATTCACAAGAGTAAAGATAAGATAAGTTGGGATAACTTTCGGCCTATAACCCTTACCACTGTCATTTCTAAAGTTTTGAGTAAGTTGATTGTGAATAGATTAGAGTCATATTTATCCAAAATTATCTCCCCTCAACGATCTGCTTTTATTAAAGGCAGAGAGATTATTGATTACATATTGCTTGCCCAAGAGATGATTGAGGGCTTAGATAAAAAATGTAAAGGGGACAATATGGTTCTTAAACTTGATATAAAAAAGGCATTTGACACTATTAGCTGGGATTTCATTCTTATTATTTTGCAAGCCAAGGGTTTCCATCATGAATTTTTCTTACTTATTAAAAGATGGTTAGAGAATAACCATTATAGTGTTCTTGTCAATGGTAAAGCATATAGTTTCTTTTCTGCACAAAGAGGTATTAAGAAGGAAGATCCTCTCTCTCCCACTATTTTCATTATTGCTTTTGACTACTTCTCTTGGCTTGTAAATTGTTTGCAGATTCAACATCCTCATATTCAATACTCTCATAAATCTAAAATTTTGGTTAGTCATCTTGCTTATGCTGATGATGTCATTTTATTCTCTATGTTAGGAAGTCTGCTATTAAAGTTATTATGCATTCTTTGAATGACTTTTAGAGCATGTCTGAATGACTTTTCAACAAAGCAAAATGTTCCTTATACTTTGGGAAATCTGTGCATAACAATATTGAAAGTTGGGCAACTTATTTTACTAGCACATCTCCCCATTAAATACCTTGGGTTAATATTCTCAGAGGATGGATGAAGCAAACTCAAATGGATGAAGTGGTGGACAAGATTAAATCCAAAATTAATGATTGAAGAAATATTTTCATATCTAATGGTGGTAGCTTGACCTTGCTGAAAAGTGTTCTCCTTAGTCTTCCTTTATATGTAATGCAGGTCTTTATGACTAAGAAGAGTACTAAAAAACACTTGAAATACTCTTCAATAAATTTCTCTAGTCACGTGGTGGAACTAGTAAAATTTGGACTGACTGGAAAAAATTATTTAAACCTTGTCTATCTGAGGGACTTAGTTTTAAACCTCTTCAACAATTAATTGATATAAATATGTATAAGCTATGGTTTAAATTTAGAGCTGGCGATTCACTATGGGCCCAATTTATGACCATAAGTATTGCACATCTGCATATCCCTCCATTGTTACATGGAACGCTAGCTACTAATTTTATTTTTTGGGATGTGGGAGATGGAAAGATATCCTTTTGGCATGACCAATGGGGTATGTCCAACCTCACAGATTTCCCTCACTCTATTTCTGATACACATTTACTTGTCTCTGATTGTTGGAATGATGGGAACATAAACCTTACTAAAATATTGTCTTTAATGGAAGATAAAGCTTTTTTAATCTCTAAAACTCCTATACAAACTCAGAGGAAAGAAATTCCTATGTCGAAATTTTTAATCTACAGTGTCCATTACCAAAATACTATATTCACAAATTCATAATTTTCAAAAATGGAGGTGGGGTACTCTGATATGGCATGCTCTCATTTCTCCCTCCACCACTTTTTTCTTATGGAGATTTTTTCTTCTCCATGTTACCTTTAGATGACATTCTTAGGTTGAAAGGGCTGAGATTAGCTTTCTTTTGTTATATCTGTAAACGAGATGTTGAATCCTTTTCTCACCTATTTTATGAATACTATTTTTCCAGAGAAATTTGGGCAAACCTTGGTAGAATGTTTGGGATTCATTGGCGCCTCTGATTCTGTATGGAGGATTTTCTGGGGGCTTGGAAGGAAGCAAGCTATATAAACAAAAAATTGCATTATTTCCCTCTTATGGTGTTGTGGTTCATTTAGTCTGCTAGAAATAGTTACAAACATAATATTTCACCTCCCACCCACTCTATTACTGTTTCTTATATCCTTGTTAACTATCATAAAGCTTGTAGAAATCTGAGATGTGGTGGTGATTTACATATGCCTTAGAGGGGTAGGAGACCAACTTTGCTAAGTTGGCACTCCCCCTCCATTGGCTGATTTAAAGCCAATAAAGATGGAAGCTGGTTTTCTAATGTTGCAGGGGTTGTTGGCCTCTTTCGAGATAAAACATGGAAATGCATTGTCTACTTTACCTCACCTATCATTGCTTTATCTCCTCTTGTGGCAGAGGGTTGGGCAATCATGCTGGTGTTGATGGTTTATGTCTCTTTTAATCTGAGATGTGTTGTTATTGAGGCTAACTCACAAACTCTTTTTAACATACTTACTGAAGCAAAAAAAAGTTGTTTGGTTTCTTACTTGCTTACTAAATCATATAACAGCCATTATCAATACTAATCAACTTATGGATCCATATAGTTTTATATATATGGAGGGTAATTCCCCTGCTGATTGGCTCTCTAAGCAAGGGGTTGCTGACATTACTATTGGCTCTAAACCTACCTCCTCTCTTAATACCCTCCTTCTGGGTAATATGCTGGGTACTCCTTACATTAGGAGTTAGCTTTTCTGTTTCTATTGCTGCATTTAGCTTTGTATTTGAGATGATTACCCTTGATGATAATATGTTTTTTTTCTCTTCTGGCTTCATCCAGTAGCTCTATTTGGTCATTTTGATACTCTTCTACTTCTACTTCACATCTACTAAGGGTTTATCTTCTTTTGATTGCTGGTTGGAGTTCTCCCAAGAATGTAACAAATGATATTTTCTCTACATTGATAGCTATAAGCTGCAGCAGGTTATTCGGCTGGTTCCAGGCCTATGAAGATAATTTGACTTTTGGATCAGGTTTTTGGCAAGTGACCTTCTTGCTGCATGTTATTTTGCAGGTTATTCTTGCTATAAGTTGTTGCATTTGGTTCTCTTTGAAGGATTGGTGCAGGTTCCTGGCCTGTGAAGATAATTTTGGTTTTGTCATTTTAGAAAGTGTAAGATTTTTTGTCCTTTAGATCAGGTTTTCTTATCGTGTTTCTTTGTGGTTTGGAAATTCTCTGCCACAATCTTTTTCTATCCTAGTGGCAGTTACTTCTCTACAGATTTGGAGTGCTTGCAAAGTGGTTGTCATTGGTTTTGTTGCAGTTTTCTACCCACTCTACAATGCTTTATGTATTTTTTGCTTGTGTTGGCTTCTCAGGTGTCTTCACCTTCAGCTTCGCATCACACCGACTACACTTGATAACTTGGCTGGGAGTGTTATTTGGATGGCGCCTGCCTGTAGTGCTTACTGGTTTTTGCTTTGCTCTCTTCCGGGTTGTATTTATTGGCATATGTATACTTTTTATTTTGGGTTTTTTTTTGTGCTTTGGAGGTATACTTGTATCTTTCGTCTTTCATTCTTGCGTGGAGTTGTGCTAAAGGATGTGGAACCCTTAGGGGTATGTTTCCAGTATTTAGTCTTTTTAGATTTGGGGATCCACCCACCTCCCCATTTTTTGTAACCCCTTCTTAATTAATAGAATCAGAGCAACAATACTCCTTCCCCCATATATATATATATATATATATTATAAGTTTAATTGAGGATCATATATGTAATTTGATTGACTTCTCTATTTTTTTTAAACTATAAGACTCTAGATTAACATTGAATGAATGTGTGTGTGTTTGACAAGCCTTGGCCTGTTGGTGGCGGGGTCACTGTAAATCCCCTTAGGTCAAAGATTTGATCCCATCATAGCGCGGGTGCTCTGAAATTGTAGGTACATAATGCAGGCTCTCATCATGGGGCCAAAAAGCGCATGAGAAATTGATATTTTAGCTCTGCCAAATATTCATTTCCTTATATATATATATGAGGGAGAATACGATGATGAATACTCGTCGTCCGATGAAAAGGATAACTCACCGGAGAATAACTTCCGGCGATTCTCCGAGGCTCTTGATAACAGCACCAACAAGAAGCTGGAGGAGGAGGAGGAGAATAGTTACCGCGAGCCCGAGGAGTTGTTCAATTTCCCTAGGGACCCTGAGAATTGGAGGGAGGAGGATCTTAGGGAGCTTTGGGCCGACGCCCCCAGGGGGATTGCGAAGACCGGCTGGGATCCTGTTTGGGTGGAGGAAGACGATTGGGAGGCCATCAATCAGGCGAGTAAGGAGGGGAGGAATCCGGTCATTGCACCTTTCTACATTCCTTATCGCAAGCCTTTCCCAGTGATTCCTGACAACCACCACGATATCTCTAATCCGAAGTCCGTGATCGAGGAGCTTGATAGGATTGAGGAGTTTCTCAAGTGGGCCAGCTTTGTGTTTGCCGATGGAAGCACGTATGAAGGAACTGTTTGGGATGACTGTGCCCATGGAAAAGGTGTTTATGTTGCCGAGCAAGGACTTGTCAGGTATGAAGGAGAGTGGCTTCGGAATGAAATGGAGGGCCACGGTGTTGTAGAAGTTGATATTCCTGATGTGCAACCTGTGCCGGGATCAATTTTGGAAGCCAAAATGCGTGAAGAAGGTAGAATAATAACAAGAGATTTTAGGACGCCAGAAGAGAGAAGATGGTTAGAAATGGATATAGAGGACACACTTCATCTGGTTGGTGGTAACAGGGAAATTCCATTCTATGGAAATGATGAATGGGTGAAAGTTTTTGGTGAAAAGCCAGAGAAAGGCCAGTATCGGTATGCAGGTCAATAAAGATGAAAGGGCTGAGAGGGCCTTCAATCTCCCCATTTTGCTATGCTGCTAAAGAAACCTTAGATCACCTATTTTTCTCATGTGCCCTCTCACAAAAAATTTGGTCAGGTTTAATCAAGCTCCTGAATATTAATAGTCATAATGTAAGCTGGCTTAAATTCTCTACTAGCTGGGAAGAATGGCATAACAACAACCTTTGGGTGATACCCTGTATTGTGGCTTGGTTCATATGGATGTACAGAAACCACAACAAATTTGATGAGAAGCTTTCAGGGTCAAAATCTGTGATTATTAATAGTATCTCTTATATTCAGAAATTGATCAAGTTTCATCTTTTCCCTAATGTTATAAAGTAATGGACTCCAGGAAACAATACCCCTCTTCTTCAGTCTTTCAAACTAATCCTTTGGAGTCCTCCCTCTACTGGTTGGTTGAAGGTCAACACTGATGGCAGCTTCTCAAATGGTTATGCTGGTATTGGGGGAATCTTCAAGAACCCCCATGGTTCTCCCATTCTGTATTTCACTGCTCCTGTTGTGGCAATGGATGCTCTGGAGGCTGAATTCATAGCTATCTACTGGGCTATCAGAATTGCTTGTTGCTGCCATATGGGTCCTTTGATTATAGAAACAAATTCTACTAATTGTATTAAAATCCTTCTTCATGATGAAACACCCCTTGGAATTTAACCAGATGGAATAATCTGTTAGTTGCCCTACTACCCAGACACATGATCAATATCAATTATATTCCTAGAGAGGGTAATCGTCCAACTCATTGGCTTGCCTCCCAGGGTAGAAATACTGAACAGATTTTTGTTGGGCTGACACTTACACCTGAGTTAAAATTCCTGTTGATTTGTGACAATTTGGCACTCCCCTATATTAAATGTATGTAACTGCTATGGGAGGTAGATCCTTGGGGGAAGGTATTGAGTTACATAGTGTTAGGCTTTACTGCTGGTCCTTGTGTGTAATTTCTATTTATGTGTCCATACAGATACATGAGCATCATGTGTTCCCTACTTCATTTTTAGCTTTTGGGAGGGTATATCTCTCCAACTCTTGTAATCCCCATTTGGTTCTTTATTAACATGTAAGGAGCCTTAGTTGCTCTTTTCCTTTAAATATATATATATATATATATATATATATATGACGGCTATAAATAACTAGTGTTTTTATGAAATTTCCTGTGCCTTGAATTTATTATTATTATTATTCCTTATCTTCTTCTTGTTATTATTATTTTGGCTTCTGTTTTCTCAAGTTCTTTAAAATTTTGAATGTAATCCCGAAATCTTCAACACATTGTAAACTCCCCCAAGGCTTGACATATTCTAAGAAAACAGGAATTCAAATCATTATTCCTTATTTAATCGAAGGTCTTCTAATCCTTTTTCTTTCACTTAATTATAGAATATATATATAATAAATATTAAAAGATAGTAGGTAATTTGAATATATTTATCAAATAGCTCCAAATTCAAATATTAATGATAGCAAAAATTAATGGTCAAATTTGAAAATCAAGTCCTACATACGTGGCTAATCATTCCACCAACAATTGGCTAAGGGAACCAACTACTCATCAGTGTTATTTTAGTACAACTAAATATTTGATTGATTTAATATTAAAAAAATTTGAATTGATTTAGTTCATCTCTCTGGCTGGACGCTAGAAATCGTCTTTACTATTATCGCATTTTAACTATCCATTCTCACGGCAGCTTGGACAAATGCATTCTTGGATGCATTTAAAAAATCAAATAACAAAAAATAAGTTTGAGAATAAAATATATTATAATGCAGTATAATGTATGGATATAAATGATTCACGAGAATTTAGAAAAGAAAAATTCACTCATTTTGGCAATTTTTCTTTTCAATATTTCGTTTATCCATTTTTATTTATTTTGTTATTTATTAAAATATATGAAGTTTTTTTTTTTTTTTTGAAGACTAGCCTCCTCAATCAACGAGACTTTATCTCTCATGTATATGCCAAATTTTGTGATGAATGTTGAACCCAAATAAATTCAATTTTGTTGGTAAGTTTGAATAATTTCAAAGGGTTTGAGATGATTTTTGAATAAAATTGGGTAGTTTGGGTAATTTTTGAAAGATTAGGGTTTCATGGGCAATTTGGTAGTTTTGAGAAAGTTTGGGGACAAAAGGCTAAGTTGGGTATTTGGATAGGATGAAATCAATTGAGGATTCTAATCATAAAATTACCCTTTTGTTAGCCATTAGTGCAAGGGAGCTCCCACTATGTAACCTCCATTTGCTGGTCTTAGCCAAATCCTAGCCCGGGGCTAATTGTTTAGGGGACCATCCACATGAGTTTCTAAAATAGAAAGGGATCAAGCTAGGCATGTTTAGTTAAGGGTTTAGGTTGTGAGTGAAAGTGTGTGATTTTAAGTGTATGTGTGCAAGCTTTTACCAAGACCAGACTACCCAGGGATTACCTTAAGGCCTTACCATCCTATAGGGAACTCCTCTAGAACTTCCTTATGCTTGGCTTCATCCTAATAAGTGCTAGAGGTTAGCATTAAGCATATGAAACTCTAAGATGAGAAAATAAGAGTTTTATAATTTCTAATGGTGAGGGCTGGGCTCCATCACTAGTCTTCTAGGTCTTCTAGGATAGTCAACAGTAAAGTCCTATGGCTAGATCTTAGGCTTTTAGAGAAGAGAGACTAGACCTCAACAAAAGTGAGGTCAACAAATGGACCTTCAATAGGTGTGGTGTGCCTGACAAGCACACCACACGTATTGACATTGACCAAAGAGATCAATAAAACCAACACAACAGTCCGAGCCAACATGCTCAGAGAAGAATAGAGGAAATGTAGAGAAGGCTTCTGCTGAGGAGTACTAAAGGAGTCTTAGATCAAATTTGAAGACTCCAAAACTTTCTCCGGGAATTGGCGAATGTACCTTCAAAATGTCAAATTCAAGGGTGAATTTGAAATTTACAAAGTGATTTATGCTTGCTAACCCAAGTGAGGGGCTACGCGACGGATTTACAGAGACAACCATCACGAAGACTGATGGTTGTGGGAAAGATTTGATTTGATTTTGATGTCTTAATTTTAATTTTGATTTTGAGTTTGATTTTGTGAAAATTTAACTTTGGAAGGCAAAAATATGTGAAGAGAACAGATTGAGATGGAATTTACAGGGACTCACATTTAGCTCAAAAGACCGATCAAAGGAAAAGAGTGCTACGATGTGAAGGAAAGCGCATGGAATCACATCCAACCCAAGAGGTAACGAAAGTGCTGAGAAATGAGAATAGGATGCCTTACTCCATTTAAGGCGGTCTTATATCTACCTCAAGGATTTGTGAATGTCATATTAGGAAGGAAAGCAAGGGACTCACATCCAATCTAGGAGGTGATGAAAGTGCATAGAAATGAGAATAAGATTCCTTACTCCATTTAAGGTGGTCTTATACTCATCTCAAAGATTTATGAATGTAACATTAGGAAGGAAAGCACAGAGACTCACATTCAACCTAATAGGTGACGAGCTACGTTGGGAAGGAAAGCTCAGGGATTCACATGCAACCCAAGAGATAATAGAAGTGCTGAGAAGAGAATTAGATGCCTTGCTCCATTCAAGGGGGTCTCACAATGATCTCAAAGATTTGTGAATGTCACATTAGGAAGGAAAGCACAGGGACTCACATCCAAACTAAGAGGTGACGAGCTAAATTGGGAAGGAAACCCAAGAGGCGGAAGGGAATCATAATTTAGATACTGACCCTAGGATGGGAACTAGAATTTAGGTACCAGCATAGGAAAGAGAATCAAATGCCTTGTTTCCATTCAAGGGGGTC